GGAGCCCGATGCGGGACTCGATCCCGGGACTCCAGGATCATGACCTGAGCCGAAGGCAGTCGCTTAACCAACTGAGCCACCCAGGCACCCCTTAAGCTGGTTTTCTTAGCGGAGGGCTGGCCGACCATTTATGTCCACTTGGCATTTACAGTGGGTTGTGCACGGAGGGGGTGGCCTCAGGTCCCTGGGCCGCGCCTTCAAAGAGGGGTGCTCTCTCAGCTTTCTACATGGCCTGTCACACACTTCCGATTTCAGCAATCCTCGCCTGCCTGCACGTAACTTCAGAGGCTAAGTCGGAAAGGTACGTCTTTGTATTTTTCCGAGTGAGGCTAATAAGAGGGAAGGGGGAAGAATCCCAAGGATCAAATGGACCCTCCCCAACACCCCACCCCAATACTCAGGGTTCACTACATTCTCCCCAAACTGAGGGACTCTGCCCCAAACCCCTGAAAAGCAGAAACCTGAAAATAAGCCCCCTTGCCCCCACGTTGCCGCTTCCTCCCGGGCTCTGGGCCCCGAGTCTACCTGGTCGTGCAGTGGGGTTCCACAGGAGCTGCAGTTCACGTCCAAGGATTCGGCAGCGCTGGGGGGCACAGCCGGTGGGAGGGCTGCCAGGGCCTTGGTTTTGGAACAGAATTCTGGGTACTCGGAGGAAAACCTCTCATAGCCACCTGTAAAAGAGAAATATGGTCAGGTTAATAGGGTCACTAAGCCAGCAGGAAACCAGAAAGTACTTGAGTCCTACCCCTAGACTGAGGAGAATGGCTGCGAAGCTGGGGCTGGCTGGATCTACACTGGCCACCGGGTGGCGCTGTGGGCCCAGAGATAATGGCTGTGGAGCGCGCCTCATTTGGCGGGGACTCCATCCTGAAGGCTGGAAGGAAAGTTTTAGGAACGAGACAGGTTCGGGATGCAGATACAGAAAGGAGGACGTGCAGGGGGTATGCCGAAGAGACCTTCCCCATCAGCTCCTGAGGGTGATGATAAAGCATGGAAGACAGGATGGCCACTGGGGGTTCCCACAAGTAGGGAGGCAGCCTGGTGCCAGGCCCTGGGACCTACCAAGATGTCCGTCATCCCCCAACTCCAGCCCTTCCTTTGGAGAGGTTCTCAAATGTGGGAGAGAAGGAAAAAAAAATTACCCTGGCACCAGCCCTTCTGGATCTCAGCAACAGAACAGATGCCAATCGCCCGGCCTCCCGAACAGCTGTTCCATCAACAAGGGGCCAAAATAAGAGGAAACGGGCTTAAATACAAATCCCTCTTGCTACATACAGGTTTGGGGCAAGGCAGGATTTCCTGCCCTGAGAGTTGCTAGGCTCTGGAATGGTTATCTGTGGGATCGTCTTCCGGGGAAGGGAGGTCTTTTAAGTAAAAAGAGATAAAGGGCCAACTTCTCCGGAACAGTGTTAGTGCTGAGCAGAAAGGTGCCGGCTGGCTGGGGGTGGGCAGAGATGTAGGCAGAGGGGCAGGGGGACAACCAGGAGGACAGAGACGCCTGGCCAGTATCTGATTCACTTGGGAGCGCCGGGACTTGGCTTGGCGAGTAACTCAGCGTCTACTATCCACGTGTGGCCATGCCTGTATTTTTATTTTGCAGTTTCTGTAGGACCCACAGTGGATCATAAATTAATTCAGGAGAGGCTGCAGGTTGCCGAACAACCACTCCAACGGACCCGTTCACCCACCGGTCACGTCGGTGGCTGGCACAGCTAAGTGTCTGTGTGTAAGCGGTGTGGGGCCAGTGTGCCCTGGGACCATTCGTGGGAACCTTCCAACATGCAGACATGCGCCAGTGAGTCAATGACTTGCCCAAATCCCACTCCCCTGCCCCTAGAAAATACTGCTTTGCAGAGGAAGGGAAATGATTCTTCGCCGCATCAGGACGCTTACAGAAACACAGTATACGGTTTTTCCTCTGAGCCCCCCCTCTTCTGTGTTCCCCTCCATTGCCTCCCTTGGGATAGAAATGGCTATCTCCCTGCTCACCGGCCTCGCTCCTGCTGAGTCACAACCACCAGCCTCCCCGGAAGGAAAAACCCGCTTGAGGGGCCAGGACTGGCAGTTCCAGGCGCGTTGGTGGCCTTCGCGTAGTCATCTCAGCACAGGGGCACCCCTGCTGCCCATTAGCACCCCTTTTTCCCGATAAGGCTACAAACATGGCTGTCCCAAATGCAGTGAAGAGAGGATGGGGGAAGAGCCAGCCAATGTCTTTAGCTGCGGCCCCTAAGACAGGACTCAGGGCAACCTCCCTCACTGTTCTCCCTTGGATGGGGGAAAGGGAAACGGATCAGTCAACAAACCGTTGGTGAACACCAACTATAGGATTTGAAGATTTTTAAGTTAACTCATCTCTGTGTTTATATTCCATAATTTGAGCTATTCATATACATCTTTTTTTTTTTTTTTCACAGAAATGTAAGGCCTGGGCGGTGCCCTCCATAAGTGCATCACCGAGACAGGCAGACTAGCAGTGCCCACCGGCCAGTGGGCGGGGGGGGGGGGGGGG